GGGGTCGAGTCTATATTACTGCATTTTTTAAGCTGACTGCTCCACTTTCATGTGAAGGCCAAGAGGAGTGAGTTCTGCTCTACAGGGTAGGGTGGCAAGGTGGGCGGTGCGTCGCCCCGGTGTCAGGAATGTTAGGGAGTGGGGTCCTCGGGTGGCAAGGGGAGGGCCGATCTCCAGAACACAGGACGCCTCCACCCTCAGACCTGGTGAGAGGTAGGACCAGCTGCTCCCCCCGATCCAAGGATGGACACTCACTCCTATTATTATTAAAAGAATAATAATAAGCTTAACTTTTGAGAAATTTTTTTTTTTTAAGTAATCTATGCCCCCCGTGTTGGGCTCGAACTCATGACCCTGAGATGAAGAGCTGCACAGTCCCCCAACCGAGCCCGCCAGGCGCCCCTAAGCACTGTACGTGCTGCTCGTCCGACATTTTGTATTCAATAGCTGTGTTTATTTTTCCATGTCCCGACAGTTTATATAGAATGTGCTGAAACTGCACAGACGTGTCCTAAAGGTGTTGTTTCTCTGTGGAACACAGAAACTGTTCATGTGGAAGATCCCACACCTGCGTGTTTGCCCGGAACTAGTCGTAGTCCGCTGTGCAGAGCGACTTTATCAGGCTCTCGAGGGCGGCTTCAATGCCCAGTGCGCCCAGCAGGGCTCGGAAACTGAGAGGCGCGGTCTCCAGGACTCGGTTCCGGTCCAGCTCCAGGGCTGCAGGGAGAGCAAGCCGGCTGAGACTCTACACCGAGACCCTCCCTCCATCCCAAACTGTCGTGACCATGGGCACGGACCCGCACGCCAGAGGTGGGGACGGAACAGTCCCTCCTCGCCTCTGCTTTCTGATTCCTGATAAACCGATACAAACACTACAGTGAGATTCTCAACTTTTGATTCTTGCTATGAAAACCAGATGACAGAAGCAGGCGTCTGTTGGGCACAGTAAGAAGTCCTCACACCCCCACCCCGGGGGCCCCTACCTTGCTGTGGTGCTTTGGGTAGAAGATCCAGCTTCGGCAAAACCCTCCCTTCTTCATCTATCTGCACCCTCCAAATGATGACCAGCTCGAACCTGAAAGAGGTAAGATGCGTCCCTAAGTGCTGTTTCAAATCGGGTGGGAAGTGTGACCTGTGTGTCACCTGTCACCCTCCCTGAGGAGGTGCTCCTGAAGACGTCTGGCCATGGACACACGCCACATCTGCTCAGGGAAGCACATGTGACATGAACGAAGAGGGAAATGGACCCCGAGACCCAGCAAGATGCTGTTCTGTACCCACAATGTGGTGGTGTGGCCATACAGGATGCAGAAAACCTGCAGTGCGGAGCCTGAACCGATAAAGTAGTCTGAAAAGCTTCGGCAGCGATGGGAGGCTGAACCGACCCCGTGACCCAGGAATTTCACTTCCAGCCACAGAAGCCTGGGTCCTCAAGTGTCCGGGGACATGGACAGGAGCGTGAGAAATAGGGGAAAACGATGGATGACCCAAGTGCCCAAGACCCGAAGAAAGCAGAAATACAGCTGATGGAGTAGAACCACCGAGAGTGAACTGCATACAGCTCCACACATAACCAGAAGCTCACTTTGGATATAGTGTTGAGTAAACAAAGGCAAGTCTGAGAGGCCTACAGAATTACAGCACCATCTTCAGATGTGAAAACAAAGCACCTTCAGGCATTCTGACGCAGACCATGCACACAGACCCCAGTGAGTCCTCCCTTCACCCAGTGCTTGCTGCCTCCCGGCCTTTTCTGAGGCCAGCCCATCAAGACAGCTCCAGCCCTTCCCGGCCTCCCCCTGGCTCCCTCCAGCCCTGCAGTGAGCCCAGCAACACTGGCTGTTTCCCCACGTCCCACACCCTGCTCTCCCCCCCACAGCTGCACGGCCAGCACGGCTCACAGACATTTCAAGGTGCCTGGAAGGTAGTGGACATTCGTTTTCTACCGTTTGTAATCCTCGTTTTTAACAGCAAGCAGCCGCCTGGGTGTTGGGGAGGCTGGGCCTGCAGGGCATCCGCACTCACCCTGGCTGGCAGGCGCTCCGGACCACCATGCAGCTGGAGGCGGCCCCCTCCGGGAGGTGCACGGCTGCTGGGTACTTCTCCTGTGGGAGAGGAAGCGGGTACAGAAAAGTCAGGTGACAGAACAGAAGCCAGGAGCCCTCACGAAGGTCTTCAGGTTGCGGGTGCAGGTAGTTCAGCATCATGGTGCCCTGGCAGAGACAGGGAAACTGAAGGCTCCACAAAAACCTGCTCTGGGCTCCTTTTCCTGCTTCTCTTGTTGTTAGGACCTGCACCCCCAATTTATACAGGCCTCGATGTAGATGCCGTCTGCCCTCCTTGTAAGGGAGCAGGACTCAGTGCTTTCTCTAGAAGAGACCACATCAAAGGCAGGACCAGGTGAGAAGGACTGGAAGCCATCATGTGGGTATTCCAGACCTCCAGTGCTAGACACCCCGGCGCCAAGGCGTCCTGGTTCCGAGGAATAACACCTGGGCCCTCGTCTCTGTTCTCACGGTTCCTGGATGCCTCAGGGGACGTGTGCACCAGACCACCGTCCTCAGTAAAACCCCCCAGGCCCCAAACAAAGACGAGACTCCCTCCTTTCCTTTCCATGCCTCCTGGATGCTCTGTCTGTATCTTTCTTTCTAAGTTCAGTAAACTCCGCTCTCACCTCCCGCTGGCTGGCTCACGTTTGATTTCCATCTTGCGCACAGCCAGGGCCCCTCTTGGCTGGTCCTGCAGGAGCGCCTCTGGGGTCTCAGCCCCGGCCACCCCACTCCTGCCTCCTGTGTTCACTGGCACTGCCTGTTCTAGATCTTTCCACTGCCCCACGGCCCTCATGTGCCCACACCCGCTACCTCTCAGTGTTAGCAGGTTAGAGAAGAGCTTCATCCTGATTTCACCTGTTTGTCCCCCAGGGCTCTCCGGCCTTTGGCCACACTGCCTCCCTAGACCCCTCTGCTCTGGGGTGGCCCCTCCGTCTGTCCTGTTCTCGAGACCTGGGTGGCCTGAGAAGACCAGTCACACATGCTCTGCAGTGCTCCTTGCAACTCACCAAGGTGATGCTCGCCCTGATGACCGGTGCTGTCTGCCGGGATGTTCACTGCTGTTCTCTGGAGCTTTAGCATTTGGCCTTAAAAGCCCTTCAAACTGCGGCCCCTGGGCAGGCCCCTGCCATGGTGTCCATCCTCACACTGGCCGCCCAATGGCTCCTGCCCATCTGCATGTCGGGAGCAGGGCCACTGGGGGCCCCCCGTGACCTCTCTGTCAGTCTCCCCCAGAAGTGTGCCTGGCCACCCTGGCTAACAGGGTCTTGGGGAGCATGCTCTGCCAAGCCAGCTTCACAAGGAGATCACATGCCATTTCAGTCAAAGGTATTCTCTCTCAAAGAGGGAGATGAAGTGGGATTTCATAGATTTCCAGGCTTGCAACCCTAAGGTAGGGTTGGCTTTCCCCTCCGCCTAATATTGTAGATAAATCTGTCTTCCTATTCCTCGCAGCAGAACTGACACCTGAACACACACCTGACTTTGAGGTCTGCTGTCCAGGGAGCGGACTGTAGGGCTGGGGGACGGCAGTGAGCCTGTGGGCTCTGGGGCCAGCGTCTGAGACACATCTCCTCTCCCTCCTCCCGCCGTGCTTGGTGTAGAAACAAGACACCTGGGCTGATGCTGAGGTCAGCTGCGAGCCCTGCCGTGTCCCACATGGAGCCTCATGGGACAGAGTGGCAGGGCTAGCGCTGTGGGTGGCAGAACCCGGGGCTTCAGAGGACAGGACCTTCCTGAGGACACAAGTACTCGGTGGACAGAACCCCATCAGCCCCAAGGAGGAGGTCTTGTAGGGACAAAGACGTGTCACACCTTCTAAAGGGCTAGTGCGAAGACCAGCCTCTGCTGCCAGCGTGAGGCCCGTGCTCCCAGACCTGCGTGTGAGAGACGCCGACAGAGCAAGATCGCATCCCAACACCAAGCCGTTCTGACCAAGTGCTGGGCTCGGCCTGGTTTAGGCTTACAGACAGTTTCTAATTTCAGCCAGTGTGTGTGAGAAAATGTATACCTGAGTGTTTTAAATGGAAAGTGCTGGCTGACTTTTAAACCTCAAGCTCTTCTAAATTAATAACAGCTGTAGCTGAGCCGCACGGAGGGACACGTGAGCACGGCAGGGCAGCTCCTGGGCTGTGGGGCGGCCGCCTGAGGCCGGGGCCGGCTCCAGCGTGGGGCCCAGGGGTGCACACGTGCTGTAGGCTCAGCCTCCAGGCGGACCTCACAGCCTGGCCAGGCCTCCTCACAAGCAAAAGGAGGGTTTAGATAAGAAGCGTTCACTAAAAGATATACTTCCTCTAGTTTAAAAACAAACAGGGCGCCTGGGTGGCTCAGTCGTTAAGCGTCTGCCTTCGGCTCGTCATGAGCCTGGAGTCCCGGGATCGAGTCCCGCATCGGGGGGAAGCCTGCTTCTCCCTCTGACCCTCCCCCCTCTCATGCTCTCTCTCAAATAAATAAATAAAATCTTTAAAAAAAAAGAATATTTATAACAAAGAGTCTACCCTGCCCACACACAAAACTTTCACCCTGGCTCCATCCCCAACCACAATAAAAGCCAGAGCCAGGGCGCCTGGGTGGCTCAGTCGTTAAGCGACTGCCTTCGGCTCAGGTCGTGATCCTGGAGTCCCGGGATCGAGCCCCGCATCGGGCTCCCTGCTCGGCGGGGAGCCTGCTTCTCCCTCTGACCTTCCTCCCTCTCATGCTCTCTCTCTCTCATTCTTTCTAATAAAATCTTAACAAACAAACAGAAAACAAGTAGAAATGCTGACGTTAGGAAGAGATCTGGAGAGCTCTTTGGGGGTGTGGTAAGTCACCTTTTACACAAGGTAGTGACGCGGCCCGTTATCGGCTCCTCGCCCTCCGCGCACAGCACACACCGCAGCGGGGAGAGCACAGAGCAGAGCCCACGGGCCAGCAGCGTGCGGGTGGTGCTGCGGGAGAAGAGAGACACTGTGACGTGGGACGCAGCTCTGAACGCAGACGAGCACATTTTAGCAGTGGTTAGAAGTCTTGCATACGACTCTATCTGATGGGAGGTATCGTTGGGAAGCCGGGGAACGAGCTTTGGGATGTGGGTGCTCTGCACATGCGGGGCGTTAGCCCTCCACAGGAAGCCTGTCCTAAGTGGTGATTCAACAGAGGTGTTTACTCAGCTGCTTGCCACACGCCTCGGGGTCTGCATTCAAGAACTTCCCCGGTGTCTGTGCGGCAGAAGTGGCGGCCGGGGGGACGCTGGTTTGGGGTCAGACCCTTTCACTCCGGAGATTGGCTTTGCTGTTGAAGTGGCTGCTGGTCCAAAGGGAACAGAATCTGTAAGAGCATTGGAGAAAAACCAGCCTTGCGTTTTCGTGCCCGTGATACCAGCCCAGTGCCGAAGGGAAAGGGACCAGGCACCCTGCCTGCCTCCCACTCACACGAATGGGAAACCTTGCATTCTGAGCTTAAATGCACCCCTGAGTGTCCACAGTTAATTCATCTTGACTTTATGTCTGGCTGATTCAATGATTTTTTAAAAAATTGAGATAAAATTCACATAACACTCCTTTAAAGTGTATATAGTTCAGGGGTTTTAGTGTATTCACAAGGTCTTACAACATCTCTGCAGTCCAGTGTGGAAGCCCTGCTCTTCAGCTACTGCCCCTTCACCCCTCTGTGCCCCCCAGGCATCAGGCAGCGAGCACGGACAGACAGTCCACAGATGTCCCTGTTCTGGGCATTTCAGACAAACAGAATCATTCGAGATGTGTCTTGTGTGACTGGCCTCTTTGACTTGCACGTTTTCAGGGTGTGAGCACGCGGTAGCCGACCTCCATGCTCACTCCTTTGCTCGGGGGAGTGACACCCCACTGTTCATCCATTCATCAGCTGATGGGCACGTGGGGGTTCTTTGCTTTTTGGCTACCGGAAACAATGCTGCTGTGAACACGGGTGGGCACATGTGTTCTCCTTCCTCATGGTTATGCGCCTGGGAGCAGCACTGCTGAGTCCTATGGAAATGCACGTAACCATGGAGGAACTGCCCAACTGCTGCCCATGGCGGCCGCCCGCCTTCATGATTCCATCAGCATTGTCTGAGGGTCCTGATTTCTCTGTCTCCTTGCTGACAACGTTGGTCATCACCCCCTCTTAGAAACTGTTCTTGTCCTCCTGGTGGGTGTGAGGTGGGAGGTCACTGTGGATCCGCATTTCCCTGATTTTCTCTGATGGCTGTGGATGCTGAGCCTCTTCACATGTGTTCATTCATCTGCACACCTCCTCTGGAGAAATGTGTGTTCAGATCCTTTGCCTAAGTTTTAAACTGGGCTGTTTTTCTTTTTATTATCGAATTATAATAGCTCTTTATAGTCTGGACACAAATCAGTTGTCAGATAAATGGATTTCTCCCATTCTGTGGATTGTCTTTTTACTTCCTTACTGGTGTCACCCGAGTAAAGTTTTTAATTTTTATGAAGTCCAGTTTATCTATTTTTGTTCTTTTTCTTGCTTGTGCTTTTGGTGTCATAGCTAAGAAACCAATGCTGAACCCCAAGGTCACAGAGATTTACACCTATGTTTTTTTTTAAGAGATTTATATTTTTAGCTTTTTCTTTTTTAAGATTTTATTTATTTTTTTGAGAGAGAGAGAGAAACAGCATGAGAGGGGAGAGGGTCAGAGGGAGAAGCAGGCTCCCCGCTGAGCAAGGAGCCCGATGTGGGACTCGATCCGAGGACCCTGGGACCATGACCTGAGCCGAAGGCAGTCGCTTAACCGACTGAGCCACCCAGGCGCCCCTATATTTTTAGCTTTTAAAATTAGGTCTTTGATCCATTTTGAGTTAACTTTTGTAGATGATGTAAGGTAGGAGTCCACCTTCATTCTTTTGTCTGGGAATATTCAGCTGTCTCCATATCAAGTCGTTGAAAAGACTGTTCTTCCCCATTTAATTGGATCTGGTCATATTTTAATAACATCTTGTAGTTGAAGAGAGTCTCGTCCAGAGTATGTGTGAGGTTTCACGGGGGGACAAAACACATCCCAGACTTTCCAACAGATGTGCCGGGACAAGAATGTATCGATGTAG